ATTTTTGAGAGAGAGAGTGAGACGGAGCTTGAGAGGAGGAGGGTCAGAGAGAGGGAGACACAGAATCAGAAGCAAGCTCCAGGCTCCGAACTGTCAGCACAGAGCCCGACACAGGGCTCGAACCACAGACCACGAGAATAGGACCTGAGCCGAAGTCGGACGCCCAACTGAATGAGCCACCCAGGCGCCCCTGGGGTCTCGTGATTGCAGTTTTAAATTAATTAAAATGACCACTACTTCTGAAATCCAATTTAAGAGCCCAAATGTTAACATTTACTGTTAAAAGTAGAAATACTAGCACTGTGGAAAATGTGGAACTCAGAGCCTGCTCTAGAAGGTGGCTGTGCCACCACCTGAGTAAGAAACTTCTGAAAGGTCATTTAGCTTCTAGATCTTACTTTCTTCAGGTGGAAAACAAAGAGCCTAAACACACTGACACCTCTTTCTAATCTGAAGCTAATTTACTGGTTAGATCTACATTAATTGGATTATAACCCAACCTAATCCATTATTTATCCCAGCACTGATTCTAAAAGAACAGAAAATGAAACTACAGTCTGGAGACCGTGCAGTAAAATGGCTCCTAGAGCACTTTCTGGAACCCACTCAGGAAGTGGGAACCTTGGGCAGTTACTCAGCCTCTGTGCCTCAGCATCCCCATCTGTTGAGTATCCTATTATTTCCTGATGTAAGTAATCATGTAAAGACTACATGAGTTAATTTACAATGCAGCAAATGCTCTGTGGTAAATGCTCAATAAATGTCATCTGGTGTTATTACCAGAGCGCCGTGCTATGGTAATATATTTTTTTTTATTCTTTCTCTCTTGGTCCTCACAAGCCCAACGTAAGTATTGTCTCCATTTCTCAGATAAAGAAGCTCAGAGAGGTTATCAACGTTGCTGAATGTCAGTCCGTCTGTAAGCTTTAGAAGTGGATGCAAATTAAGTCTAACAGCCAAGTCCCCTCCCCTGCTAAGGCCTCACTTGCTCATGCAACAAATTCTCATTGAGGATTCTATCACGTGCTCTGCGGGGATACAATGAAGAAAGTAGATACAATTCGTGCCCTCAGAGATGGGGAAGGCAGTCAGTGCTGGGAAGACGGATAAAGAACAATACAGAATTATGATGGAGGAGGTAACGGCAACTAAGGGCACATCTATAAATGGGACACAATGTAGTGAATGGAACCAAGGGCAGAGAACGCCTTCCCCAAGAAGCCATGTTTATGCTCAAACCTAAAAGGTGAGCAGGAGTTAGCCATGTGAAAAAGTGGAAAAGGACAAGGTTTGAAAAAAAACATACACAAAGGCACAAAATTATGAGAAAGCCTGGGTGTAAAAGGCCCTAAAACTAGTTCCTAATGGGAGGGACGGGAGCAAGGGGCTAAGTGGTTAAATTGTTACTATCGCAAGAAGCATCTGGGCAGTTAACTAAATACAAGTGTCTCAAACTCCAGACACTGATCTGGGCTGAAAATAAAAGTGTAGGGTTGTCTATCACACTAAGGTAATCTTGGAAGGGGAATCTACCAAGGGTAAGACAGAGGAAAAGGTGAAAACCAGAAAAGAGTGTGGTCCCATGCAAAAATAACGCCTGAGCACCACCAGGTGCCCTGGGAACCAGGGCGAACCCAGGGCTCCATTCACACAGTACGCCGTGGGGGACTCCACCGTGCCTTGCAGCTCCCCCCAAGCAGACTATGAATTCACTGGGAGCAGGAACTGTGTTTGTCACCTCTCATGCCTAGAGCTTAAGACTTTTTAGGGAGATGCCCACATTCAAGGGCATAAGGTAGAAGATTCATGCTGGAACATTACCAAGGTTACCAAGAAATCCAGTTCATCTGCACATAAGCCCATTAGCAACCACGGATTCCATAGCTCTCAAAACATCAGTTTCAAATTTCTCCCATAAAAAAGATTCATTCAACAAGATGCCCCGTTGTGCTGCCAGCATTACAACTTAGCCCCCAGCTCTTTGATCCGTATGAATTTTTCATGCGAGTTCTAACTCAAAGCTTTTGTTTTCTGTCCTGAAAGATGGTCCATACGACATTTACTTAGATCACAATTTCATTCCTAAGTGCTTGAGGAAATTTCTAAGGCTCCTGAAAGCACTGGAATTTTTTTTTAATTTCACTTGTCCCATTCAGACTTTCTTCCAGGGTGGAAATGGTGGCAATACAGAATCACCTACTGATGCTCATCCTAGTATTTAATTCTTTGAAGGGCTTAGTTTTCTGGATTTTACTTACGGCAAACGTTCATATCATACAGATTTCAAAAGTCACTATTTTAAAAAGCCCGAAGTATACTGCTTTGGTAAACGTTTAGTTCTCTGGATTGAATCAACGCACCCGGGACCAAAGTCCAAAATTAACTTGCTAACAGCGAGAGATGAAACAAGAGGCAAAGGGGCCAGGCACCTAATCCGGACAGCCTCGTGCCCACACTCAGAGGCCGGATTCAAGTGCTTGTTTCTGCAGGTTCGCGAGACCCTCCATGACTTGATCCTCTCAAACCCACTGGGGCTGTGGTTCTCACGTACCAGCTCTGCCAAAAACGCAGAACGCAGGCCTATCATGTCCTCCCTTCCACCTCTTTTTTTAGTTTTTTTTGTGTTTTGTTTTTAACAGCTTGCGTTAGCAGCTTGGGCAGAAAAGAAAGCTCTTTAGCTCAATCTCTAAATATCTCAGGATTTTTTTTTTTTTCCCAGCTCAGTTCAGGGCAACAAGTCCTTAACGTCTACTTAGAACAAAACTACCAAAGAAAAACTCCCACCAAATGGAAATACTCCCCATTACTACAGATCCTAGGGCATCTGATTCATCCCCACTGATTCCGACCTTTGCAATTCAAATGACCACGTCAGAAGCTAGAAACATTTTGTTAATTACATGAACTCTCTGAGAAAAGTTTTATTAACTCCACACGAAAAGTGACCTTCTCTTTTGCCTATGAAACTAACAGCACCAGACTAACCATAAAGTTGGACAAAACATGAGAGAACAGTTTTCAGGTGCTGGACAAGGGCCACGATCTCCAGAGGGGAGATTACATGGCCACCACGGCTCTCTGCTCAGGCACGGATGCCCTGACAGGCTCGGCACGCTGGCGCCCAAGGATGGTATGATGGTCCTGCTGAGCTGAGGAGCAAACACCAGAGTTTCAGGCAGTTCAGGTGGCTGGAACCTGCAAAGGAGAACCCCAGAGAAACAGGAAGTACAGGGGATGGTCTTCTCTGAGTCCTTGAGACCTTGACTGAGGGCTGAGCTGCACATCCAGGTAAGAGGAGGTAACGCTACCTGCAGCTCACCAAGAGGGGCAAAGACCCATCAGGGGTCTAGCAGTGCTGGAGGATGTTGTGGGTCCAGCCTGGCCACACTGCACTTTCTTAACACCTCTTTCTCACCCCAGACACCCAGCTGAGCAAGGTCCCTGCCCTAGAGTAAAGCCTCTAAACAAGCAAAGCCTCAAATCAACTTCTGATGATATCACCTGGAGCTGGAGTTTGGAGGCTAAATTCCACTGACTCAGAGAGACCTGGGGACCATCTCAGCCTTCCCACAGGTCCTCCATACCATAGCATAAAACCAAGCCTCTGCAGGTTCGAGGAGATCAGCCGGCCACTGAACTGCCTACCACAATCAACATATCAGCACTCTTCAGAGGGAGGGAACGGAAGAAGCTAGAGTCCCTACGTTTCACATACAATATTCAGCATACTCAAAAGTCCCAGACGTGCGAAGAGGCAGGATCATGTGACCCCCAGATTTACTCAAGACTTGAATGCAGTCATTATAAACATGTTCCAAGAACAAAATGGGCATTAATGAACGATGATCATCTCCGTGAAGACCCAAAATCTAAAAAGAAGAACCAAATGGAAGTTCCAAAACTGAAAGGACAATAACTGAAATAATATAAAAAATAAATTGAAATTTTATTTTTTTAAAATTTTTTTTT